AACAGTTGTACTTTTAATTTAAGAGTAGTTATTGTGGCAATCTATGCTTGTAGCATAAAATTTACACAAGATCCGTGCAATTCTCATTGAAAACAGACAATTAAGTCTAATGTGAGGGTCTTTCTGAATAAATAAAACAATTATAACCACTTGGAATTCGAAGATGGTATTGGGTTGTATGCCAATTTTGTTAACATGGACTTCTGTACATTTATTATTAGTAACTATATCTAACATTACATCTAGGATATATATCCTAGCCGAATACAGGATTCAATACATTTATGGGCACTCTGAAATGAATAAAACACATAAGAAGATGTCAATCTTTTGGATATGACTTAACAGTAGCATGCGTTTCTATAGCTCCAGATGGGATAATTTCGTACAAAACGAGGGTGTTTTCTTTAGCAATCAATTCTTGTCATTGAAAAATACGTTTTTACATTAACAGGTTCTTGGGGCTATCTCAGGTTCAGTGATTCTAGATTTGTAAATGAAATCGCTAAACTGGAAATTTCCGCTCTGGTGGTTGCAAGATGAATAGAGTAAAAATAGTTTGACATAAGTTTGTATTATACCATATATTGCTTTATGCAATGTTAGAAATTGTGAAATCTATGTATGTGTGTTGAATTTCAAATCTGATGACTTATTTAAATCATTCTGTATCTTAGAATAATTATAAATTTTGTTAATTAAATGTCTTTATTTTACCATCAATCATCACCGTCCGTTTATGATCTAATCCGCCGTAATGAACTTGTTGACATTACCACGGAATATAACTGATCATTTTGGTAAAAATGGTGCCTTACCCCGCGGAAATGGAGATGATGTTCGACAGCTATTTCTGAGGGCGATACAACGGCGCCTTGTCTCTAGGGAATTGATTTTACTTTCAAGGGGTAACAAATCTATACCTTGGCGTAGTGTGGTTCTAAAGCCTTAGCGAAGTAACCTCCATGTCTAATAAACAATTAGAGTCATATGCAATCGAACGCCTTACAATTCTTCCTCGACGTTACTGCTGGCTATCATCAAGTTTCCTGATAGGTGTTTCTTCTTTGACCTTACCGCTTATAATCACATTTTAGGAAGATAATGATAACAATTTTTCTCAATTATTCTTAAGTTCGATCAAGTCTTGATGGTTGTTTTATAAGCAATTTACTGAGCTACATCTAACTACGAGAAATGAAATTTTAACTGTAGTCCCAATTAGTCAAGGAAGAGCAAGCTTTATTGATAATGTTCACCGTGAAATAAAAGTCCATATCTCAAAACGTAGTGAGACCCATTTTGTGAAAAATTAGCATAATTTAAGTATTTGTCATTCTAATATAAAAGTGATTCATTTGTAGCATTATATTATTATTATTATACCTGAAAAAGAATACAAAACGTCGATACACTGATTACATTATGTTTTGGTATTGATAAGAAAAATAACCTCAAACTTATAGCTTAAAAACCTAAATCATAATAATCGTTTTATAATCATTTGAAATCATTTTGTATTATTTTCTGTTGCATTGTGTACTCCAAATTGTGAAAAATTGGGATTTTATTTTTGGTAAATATTTGACCTCTGTTAATGGCAGGCATAATCCAGCCTAAAAGCCGGAAGTTTATTAAACGTTAATCATAAAAATTACTAGGGAACATATTATGCAGGTATGTTAATGTTAGGTCAAATATCGCTGCGCTATAGTGTGCTATACAAGATCCTTTATTAGACGTCCAAGAGATTTCATACCATGTACGCTAAGTTAAACAATAATACTATTTTAAAAAATCATTGATAATGTCAATACCTATAAGTATTATAATTACTTACCAGAGATTATAATAACTAGATATTACGTAATCACCAAATGAAAAATTACTCAGTACAGAAATATGAATAAGTAATTTTAAATGAAATATAAGTAATTCATTTTTTACTTAAGTAAAATGTAAATTACTTGTATTGACTAGGTTGAATATTTTTAAATACTGACCTAGTAATATAATTACAAAAATTTAATCCCTAAAGGTGCAAAAGTACAAAAACAATTATCTTTACAAGTATCAAATTACATGAAGTAAAAATAATACAATCACAAGTTTACAATTTAGAGTGAGGGAACTGTCTAGAGGCGATCCAGAAGTCCTGATAAAAATGCTCTAAAAGTTTATCATTCATTTTGCACAATATTTCCAGAGTAACTAGGTCATTTATTTCCTCATAAGTTATAAAGATTGTAGATGTTGGAACAAATATATATGAAGTTATGGTTGCTATCGTTAACTTAATAACGGTATAGCGAGAGAGGGTAATGTTTGCGAAGTTTAAAATTGACTTTCTTTTGAATAAATGATCAAAATGCCATTACAAGGTTGCTTAATTATACAAATGACTGTTTTAATAGTAACTGATGTTATGTCCTATTCTCAAAGGTGTGAAATCATTGTAAATCTTGTATTATACATGAACGCCTCTATGCCTCTATGATAAACATGGACATGATCGAGACAATGAGCTTTCAGTTCACCTACGTAAAGCAATGCGTAAGAAGTGATCAAACAGAGCCATAGGTTCAAACATGTTTGACTAGGACAACACATGTCACAAATCTGGCATGGTCTTCAATATTATCAGCAACAAGTTAAATATGGAAGTATTAGGACAGAAGGTATTAGAACATTCTCCATATTCCCTAGATAATGCTCCCCTTTGTTGTGTTTGGACTTTGGACCAGCCCTAAATATGGAAGTATTAGGACAGAAGGTATTAGAACATTCTCCATATTCCCTAGATAATGCTCCCCTTTGTTGTGTTTGGACTTTGGACCAGCCCTAAAAATGGATCCGAGTGTCTCATATTTTTTTAGAACATTTGTTGAAATCAAAAATGCTGTCGACACTACTTGAGTGTCTTCAAATAGGATTTCACAGTTGGATTTAGTTTTTCAGAAGTTATGAGCTCAAGTCCTGGACCAAGTGCCTCTACCATGGGGTAGTTAAAGTGTGATTATAGACTTTTTTTGCCTTGAGCAATCATTCTGAAAAGACCCTGCTATATGGACATATAAATGTAAATTGAGTATAAAAATTTCAGGTGGTTTCCTTTACTTAAGAAAAAGATACAGCATTTTTATTAGATTTTCTGGATTGGCCTTTGTATATCAGGACACATTGTCAAAACAATCATTATACCTTATAGGTGACTTAAAAGGAGAATCTGCAGATAGGGTAGTCACGTACTACAGGGTGTTTGCAAAAAGCTTTGGTAATGGTACAGTATGGAGAAAACATTGGGTAGATCACATGTTAAGTGTCTGGTCAATCCTGAAGAATCGAAACACTTGTGAAGAATGGATCAAGATTGCAAGGAAGTCTTATTGCCAATTTTTCCAGGTGTGGTGCCATATATATATCTATATTAGACCTGATAAAAAAGCAATACTGGATCATATACAATGGCGGATCTGGGAACCAACAGGGGGGGGGCCAAATTTTAGGTCAGAGAAAAAAAATTTGGCCCCCTAAAACCCAAAAGTTGACCCAAATTTTGAGGCCCATTTTCTTCAACATTTGGCCTGAAATTAAAAAATAAGGCCTTGCACGGCCCAGTTTTGACCAAAAAGGCCCACTTTTTGGGCCTTAAGGCTTAAGGCCCCAGCCCCCAGATCCGCAAGTGATATACGGTATATACATCGCATAGTACTGTGTACACATCTATGTTCATGGTAGGTTTTGGATCTGAGTTAACCTGAGAGAAATAGGGATTAACCCATGTAAGGTTAAAGATGTTTATCATAAGTATTGAGATTTATTATCAATCATAATTACCTATACATGTGTTGTTACATATTATTTAATCTTAAGTTTCAATTGTAGGCTCTCGATTTCAACGCCGATGGCTTTATTACATTTGATGAGTACTTGATCTACTGGAAAGCCTATGACCTGGACCCAAATTTTGCCAGAATGCAGTTTGATTACATGGATACTGACAATGATGGGAAGATTGACCAGGAAGAATTTGTGGAAGCATTTATTGAATATATCTCCAATACTGGCAAGGAGGATTCAGCAAATCGGTTCTTTGGACCTTTGCTTACTTACTAACAGTATGTGGAACTGTATTGATAATACATAGTAAGAACTATGTAAAATCAAATCAGGCCTTACATGTACATTAAATGTCTTGATAAAAATTATTTCCATGTGTGGTTTCTAATTTTTGAAAATGATGTGGAAAATATTTCATTGTAGATTTTATCATGAAGTATAAAAGTAAGATAAGAATATAGTTAATGGGGGTTGGGCAGTTAGATCTTTTTGAATTTTTGGAGAATGAGGATGAAAATAAGAATAAATGTAAACAACATATATAATAGAATACGAGACCTTGTGTCAATTTTACTTTTCAAAGGTGAAACGAGAAGGGTCCCCTCTTATTTATAACACTTCATAGTTTCGCAAAGAATAATAGAGGGAAACTGCCTTATTGTTGGTTCAGACTTGCAAATAACACAAATTGAACAACTGAAAATATACCAAAACAGAATAAAAATTGAAGTTACAACTTACTCTGTGAACACTGGAAATTACAAATAGTAGAACAAATTAATTAATTGTCAAACCCCTAACAGCCTTCTGCTTTTCCCTGGCATATTTCTATTTGAATATGTCATATCTTTCAATGTGAAATGAACGTAGCCTATATATATATATTTGAAATATCTTTACCGCATTACAACAGTACCGGTCAGTTTTATCTTTAGGTTATTTATATTCCAGAAAATAAATATAACATTATTTTAAATGGTGATAGAAATAATATTCATATAAAGATGGCAGAGCAATCAATCTGGTTTAAAATAAAGTTCTATTACTGCTGCCATCTTTTATATTGACTTAAAACCTTTGAATATTATTACTGAGAAGACTACTTTTGCACTTTATCCTCTATTATAAGTAACAAATTAGATTACACATTTTTGTTATAGATTGGAGTACAGCTAAATGTACGCGTGCTATACATGTATATGCTAACTAATACATGAGAACACATCGAGCAGTGAGACGAATCAAAATTATTTTGTTTGTAGCATGCATATGGGATCAAAATAAATAAATATTATATATCAGTGAGTAAGTCTGAAACTATGTGAAACTAAAATAGACGTCAAAAGAGTTGATAAAAGGCGCCAAAATAATCAATTTTGAAGTCAAGGTATAACTGGATGAGTTTATAATAATGGCCATGATGAGGGGTCTATACCGCAAGGTGCAACCTCTAAGGACAATCACAGACGAATATTGCAGACGTTTGGTACATACGACGCTGAAAATATGTTCATCAAGCCCAAATGGCTACAATTTCCCAACACCAGGAAGCGATTTACCATATCCAGCTGGCATAGCTTCAATGATGAGACTTCCCATCCAGAAAACATCTGAAGGTAAATCCCCGGGTCATATCAAGCCAGGTAGGGAAAGGATTCTTTAGGCAACGGGCCAGATCGGGTTATGTAGTGACAGTCAATGTTCCACGGGAGGGGTTTTGAAAAGAATGGCATCAAATCTACAAACATGATTCAGTATAGCCGTCTAAGCTTTTTACAATTTATCTTCTGCATTTAAGAAAATGTGTTTCAAGTTCTAAAAAGTGGAGAAATTAACTCCGGGGAAGTATGTGCACATTTTGCAGTCGGGCCTAGTGGCTGGTGAGGCTGATTCCAGATTGAATATTGTCTTTGGATGATCAGGCTTCTCATCATCTTACTTCATTTCTTCATATATGCTCAAATATGTAATTTATAAATCACTTACTCACTCGATCGATCAGTCGATCAGTGTACGAAAAGATATGCCTAAATTTTGGTTATTTGTAGGTCTAGATGCATGCTTTGTTGGTGTAACATTGGACAGCGGGACATGCAATAGATCGGGAACACGGTTTGGACCAAGACAGATCAGATCAGAATCAATATTTGCTGTCAGGCCTTTTAACTTTTCTACAGGTAAAAATATGAAGTAAGGGTTCTATCCAGTCCTTATTCAAAAATCGCAATTCTGCTTGTGTTTGGAGTAAATAGTCTTTTTACAGTTACAATATTCTTTTCAATAATTTTGATATTAAATCTCATTTTGAAAATAATTTTTTTCTATCCACAATATGAACTAAAGGCGGAATTGTCATTCTAGTCCATGGTATGACTTCCGAATATAAAGGATCCGTAGCACACTATAGCGCAGCAACATTTGAAGCAATATTTATGAAGATGTACATGTCTTGATTCTTTTAAAATGCCATTTGCTGAAAAAACTTCCGGCTTTCGGGTCGAAAAACGCCTTTCATCACAAGGGGTCAAAAAACGCATCAAATTTTGATTCGAACGTTCATACATTTTATAAGACACAGACCGTTATTCTAAGCATACGAACAAAAACAAATTATCATAATTTGAAAATATACTATTTAATTTTACCGTAGATGTCGGTGTTGAATTAGTGTAATAATGCAAGTGTGTTTTTCAGATTTTGTTTGATTTCTCAAATATGAGCCAAGCCGATTCAACAAAATTATGTGGAATATTTAGGTAATTTATGATTGGAAACAAAACATTTTATTACCAGAAACCATATAATCGCAAGGGGTCTAATAGCAAATTATTGTTCATGTTTTACAAAACATAATACAATAACAAATAGGTAAGATTTATATCTAATTAAATGTTACAGAGATATTGGAATGTTCATATATTCCAAGGACATGTCTAATCATCAATTAGAGTCATATGCAATCGAACGCCTTGAAATTCTTCCTCGACGTTACTTGTGGCTATCATCAAGTTTTCTGATGGCTGTTTGTTCTTTGACCTTACCGCTGGATACAATCAAATTTTAGGAAGATAATGACAACGAATTTTCATGAATTCGATCAAGTCTTGATGGTTGTTTTATAAGCAACTGAGCTATATCTAACTACGGGAAATAGAATTTTAGCTGTAGTCCCAATTAGTCAAGGAAGAGCAATAGGCCTGCCTTTATTGATAATTTTCACCGCTGAATAAAAGTCCATATTTCAAAACGTATTAAGACCCCTTTTGTGAAAAACTAGCATAATTTAAACATTTGTCATCATGATACACCATGACATCTCATTTCTTCTCAGCCCTGAGGTGCCATGATATAATGAGCTTGATTTGGCGATCCAGGAGAGCCCAAAATTGAGGATTTTTGAGATCTTTCATCCCAGCTCATATTTCATTTAATTGGGGTCATTAAACTTGTGTACACATGCCTGTGCTAATATCTGCTGTTAAATACAATGCCTATTATGTAATGTATTGACATTAGGTAAATGATTACATGATAACTATCACACTTATTGACAGTTATAACTCCTCCCATCTGATGTGCTCAGATCACAGAATATGCCTCATAATATCAGAGCATGTTTCAGGTGAAACAGAAAGATGCTATGAGTATCAGAATGAACATTTGTCATTCCAATATAAAAGTGATTCATTTGTAGCATTTATCTTATTAATACCTGAGAAACAATATACAATTGTTGACCTCTCCAGAGGTCAACCGGCAAAATTGTATACCGAGACTGTAAACCGAGAAACTACTGTTGACAGAGACCGAAGGTCGAGGTCAACAGTGTTTCAAGGTTTACAGTCGAGGTATATGATTTTGACGGTTGACCGAATGGAGAGGTCTACAATTGTTTTGTTAGTCAGAAGAAACTAATAATACTCATATATACGACAGTCATCAATCATGGCTTCATTTCACAATCTTTTCTACGAACCACACCAGCAATGATTTTAAAGAAAATCTGAAGACAGTGGAAGCTAAACTCTCTGTTTTCGGCACATAACTGCGTACTGACTAGTAAATTAATGTTAATTTTGCGTTTCTATTTGTATTGTTGCTATACTCGTCGTGTAGAAAAGTCAAAATATCACTTTCATCAACGTGTACAAAATGTCCGACTACCATGTTTTTTCTGTAAACATTGTGACGTCATATTTCCCATAATTCACAAGTGTAGTACAGTAACATACGCGGTCAATAATATGATATCCCATGATGCACAAGTGAGGTACAGGCAAAAATGTTGACCACTAATTGACCAATCAGATGCGAGTATTTACACTGAGGTACTAACAATACAAAACGTCGATACACTGATTACATATTTTTTGGTATTGATAAGAAAAACAACCTCAAACTTATAGCTTATAAACCTAAATCATATATTTAAAATCATTTTGTATTATTTTCTGTTGCATTGTGTACTCCAAATTGTGAAAAAATTGGGATTTTATTTTTTGGTGATTTTTTGACCTCTGTTAATGACAGGCATAATTCAGCCTAAAAGCCGGAAGTATATTGAACAGTTATAATAAAAATTATTAGGGGACATATGTAGGTATATTAATGTAAGGTCAGATATCGCTGCGCTAAAGTGTGCTACCAACTTCTTTATTAGACGTCCTAGAGACCAAGGACTATTCTGTCGATTGTCAGATTGACGACTTTGCACTATTTGACAAAGCACAAAACTGAATTTAAAAACCTCAAAAGACCGGTTATACGGTGTTCTGTCTCACGCTTTCAGGGGCAGCTCCATTTGAGTCGTTGAGGGTGGCAGATACAGGAGATGTCAATCTAAATATGTACAACTTACCAGAGGCTTGCAACTCCATACGTGATCACTACAGAGCTCTCGTAAAGGATGGATGTATACCTCTAACAATGGGAGGCGATCATACAATCACATACCCCATTTTGCAAGCTATTAAGGTGTTTTCATTTTTTAACAATTTGAGGCGATCGCGCTATCATATACCCTATTTTGTACTATCAGATACCTTATCCTGAAAGCTATTTTCGGTATTTTAACATGAAGATGCGAATAGTATTATCACATGCCTAACTTATTAAGGTAATTTCGTTTTTTAAACAACGGGCTGTGATCGCACAAGCACATTCCCTATCCTGCAAATCCGAGCTATAAAATTGTGATTCACATCCACATCACGACTACTCATTTTAATGAACATTTTAATAATTCTTAACATGAGAGTATAAATTTAGGCTATTTTAGAATTCATTTGATCAAGGTAATGACAATCAAATATTCTTTTAGTTGCATAAGTAACAACGATTACTGATTGAATGTAGTCTGATGGTATACATTTTTTAACATCTCACATATTTTGGACAAGACAAATACTGTAAACGTTTTAGGAAAAGCATGGCCCCGTCGGTTTGGTTCACATTGATGCGCATGATGACATTGCCGACGATATGTCCGGTGCAAAGATTTCACATGGAACTCCATTCAGACGAGCTGCTGAGGAAGACTGCCTAGTTGGCCCTAAGGTGTTTCAAATCGGACTAAGGGGGCACGGCTACGCTCCAGATGATTACCAATTTGGTCTCGATAGGGTAAGAGTTTTTTTTTAAACTTGCCAAAGGGTTCCATTGACTGGTGGTTATACCATATCTTAATCATTGTTCGTTTTTGTAAAATAAATAATATGGATCTACAAATTAGTTTTGATAAGAAATGTCGACAGAATTCAATTGGTATAATTTACATTCATAGGGATTCAACATAATACGAATCGAGGATTGCTGGCATAGATCTTTGGTTCCCCTTCTTGCAAAGATACGAGAGATAATGGGATCACATCCGGTCTACATCTCATTCGATATAGATAGCTTAGACCCTTCCATCGCCCCTGGGACAGGTATCTAAATATAATATACAATTCGATATAATCGTTAAACAAGAGATCGACACAACTCCCAATTATGTTTGATTAAGTAAGTATTTGATAGAAAATAAACGAAATAAATATCTTTGTCAAAAACCTTCAATCCCTTGCCTTCAATTGTATCTAAAAATGTTATTAATTTATCATATAGGAACACCTGAGATTGGCGGTTTAACAACTATCCAGGCTTTAGAAATAATTCGTGGGTGTAGGGGAATGAATGTTGTTGGATGTGACCTTGTAGAGGTAACAAAAAATTATGAATATACAGTAAAACCTGTCTTAGTGAACACCTCTCTCTAGTGAACACCTGTCCCTAGTGGACACCCTTCCTACGCACATAGTCCACTGACTTCTGTATAAATTACCCTCTCTCTAGTGAACACCTACCTACAGTGAACGTTTTTTCTTGGCAAAAAATGTTCACTATACACAAGTTTTACTGTACATACATAGAAGATTTGACTTTAATGAGAATTTGATCATTTATTTTCATTAATTCATTTCTTGGCTTCACTTTTGTACCACACTTGATTCATAAATGCAATATGGAAATCGGTTCACTGGGGTACATTCATTTATATATATTTGCTATTTTCACGTTATGCTCTCTTGTTATAGGTGTCGCCACCCTATGACACTACTGGTAACACCGCACTGACTGCAGCTAATCTGATGTTTGAGATGCTTTGTATCCTGCCCAATGTCAAGTACAAGGAAGCATTTGAATCAACGTTCAAATTTTAGATGTCATTACAAGTTGTATTTATGTGGTATAAAGAGATAAACCAGAACTGTAATGTGTTTAAACTATTGGATATGACATGATCAGTCAGGCTACCTTGACCGTGACACTTTCATACAAGATGATATATTAATAAATTAGAATTCCTTTCTGAGCCTTATGGCCTAGTCACATAGCCCGGCCGATGTCCGGCATCGGTAGAGCTCGGTGGATTTTTTTGGTGCCACCGAGCTCTCCTCATCGGAAGCAGAGCTCGGTGACGTGAACGGACTCCGTCCGGACATCTTCAGGTACTATACTTTCCAAGGCTCTGTCCCACATCGGCCGGAGCTTTGTCGGAGCTCGGCCGGTGTCCGTTAAAAAAACCTCGTCCTCTGGTTGTCTCAGATGCACGGGACACCGACCGATACTCGGCCGTGCACCGGCCGACGTGTGTTCTGATGTGGTTACGATGGGGCTGCGATGAGGGAGCTCGGTGAGAGCCCGGTGAAATTTAACTCCGAAGTTAAAATTTCACCGAGCTGCCACCGATGCGGTTTTAAGCAACAAACGCCACGGATGTCCGGCCGGTGTCCGGCCGGTGTTCGGCCAGTGTTCGGCCGAGTTCGGTGAAAATTGCATCGCTGGCTCATCGGAACCTCATCGGCCGGGCTATGTGACTAGGCCATAACTGTAATACACATTGTATGATTAAATAAGAATGGTGTACTATTTTTATTTATATCGAATTGTTGTCCTGGTAAATTAAGAATGGAAACATATCATGTTTTGTCATTTTCACCAAACCATCGAATAAGGATTTTGCCCTATGAGATACGGTTTACATATTGTCGCTACTCATCAGTAGGTCAGATTTGAATTATTTAACAATGGAACATAAAATGAACACCCACTTAGCATTGATATTGAAATCTTTACTCCCTCGATACACTCGTGGATAAAACATAAATTACTCACAAATTATATCCTCTAAAATGTTATGTACTTTTAGGTTTCCGCCATATTGCGGAATGCCTCATTGGTATTTTCCATATGTTGGGTATCTTAAACTCAAATAGAGTTGTAGAACACTCAGTCAAACACCCTGAATAACATACATGTAGCACTGGCGGATCTGGGTGGGTCAAGAAAGAAAATTGGGCTCCAAAAATATTTTGGGCCAAAAAAGCCTTAAGGCCCCAAAGAATGGGTCTTCTGGTCATTACTGGGCCTTTTAAGTCCTTTTTTAATTTTAGGCCAAAGTGTGATGAAAATGGGCTTAAATTTTCAAAATTTTGACCCACATTTTGGATTTAGTGGCTCAAAAATATTGTTCGCGCAAGCGTGGAATTATTTTTAGCAGATCTGAAATTTGCAACATTTCAAATAGTTTGGTCAAGCACAAACCAACGAGACGGGAAGTGAAGAAGACCAGTGATCTGCCATCTATATGAGTCACAATTGCCAATGTAAACTCAAATAGTTGTATAGTAAATTCTATTCCAAGATATTTGAATCTGATTGTTGACATTGAATGAAACAAGTTAATTTACTTTTCGGATTAATTTAGCCCTTAAAAGTCGATCTACTTAAATAAATCTGAACAATCAATGGCTTATATTGAGCCCTATACATATTCCCGAATGTTGAATTAAGCTTGTATAATATAGCAACCAGACTTGGAACTCTCATACTGAGATTTATTTGTTTACCATAGAACACATTCTCGACTGTAGAAAGATCACGGTCATGAGTCAAGTTAACGTTTTGATAACGTTAAGGTAAAGCATTTTTCATTTCTTTGTTTTGTATTTTTACTTCCTTATTAGTACACTCTTTTATGAATTGTAAGATACATGTACATATTATGTTTAGTGTGTGAAATTAAGCTTATGAATTGCAATGTTTTTCGATATGATATTGGAGTTTAGAACGCCGATATGCCAAACTGTTCAATAATACTCTAATTGCATGTCTTGATGTATTCTATTTTAATTTCCTAGTTCTCTAGTTAAGAGGATTGGTTTACATGGCGATGCAATTATTTGGAATTACAAATCAATATAAACAAATTGTTTGAAGGAATAAAACCAACAACATTTGCATTCTGGATATAATTATAACAGAAGCACTCCCTAGAACTACTCCTCAGGTTCTGTCATAAGTACTAAATACAGTGGAACTTGAATTTTTTCTCGAATAATTTCAGGACTCAATTGTAGCTGATCAAGTAGCTGAACGTCACTAGGAACAAGCTGAAGTCGTATTCTCTACAAACGGTCTAAGTAGAAATTCCAGCGATCCAGTGACACATCCACCAAAGGTAAATCTAACGATCGCAGTATTATATACTCAAAAGAAAAAAATAGACACTTAATAAACAGTAATGTCAGCAACGGTGCGTTCATCCGTGCGACCAAAGAGCAGCAAACAACCATGGGGAACGGTGATAAAACCAGAGTATGGGCTTGGGTACCAGAAGATGACTGCGTATGAAGTGTCACAGACAGTGGACAGACTCTCACAGAAACGTCCACAGGGGGAACCAATACTTATAACTGTTCCACAGAAGGAGATGAAGAAGTCTGATCAAGTTGCAATGGTAAGTATTAAATTCTAATTATCCTTGCACTAGTACAAGTGTAGAAGGGTAGAGACGAAAGTCATTAAAGACAACTTAAAGGGCATACTGTTAAACCAGTATATTCCTTCATATTCCTGTAATGCCTTGATGGATCCAGATGTTATAGGTGAAATTTTAATATGAAAAACCGGCCATGATGAATTCCTAGCATCTCGAACAATAATGATCGAATATACAAGGAAATATTGTTTAAAGCCTCCTGTTCTCACCATTGAGGAACCCTCATTATCACTACTTTTTGATTATTTCTTTTGAATATTGTATGGTTATCGCAAGTCAATATGTAAAAGCAGTCATAAACCTATGAACGGCATCATACACACGAAAATGTATGAACTTTTCTGGTTGCAGATAGAGCGATTGAACACAAATGAAAAGACACCAGATACAAAAAGGACAATGCGAGACTCGAGTTATAAAAACATGGGAGTCGTTTCATCATATGCATGGAAGGGATGGTATTGAACAGAAATATGCTAGAACAACCATTGGATAAATCATAGAAGTCAAAGGAGAGTTTAACTTTCAATAAGCCCTGCCATTTCTTACTGTTCCAAAGAAACTGGAATATATTGGACAGATTCAGTAGTTACAGAAACAAGAGTTCTGACACAGATTCATATAATGTTTGTAATGAGTTCATTTCGTTTGGAAATATCGGTACCTAGATTTTGACATCATCAGTCTATCCTAGCTTCTTTGGTTTAATGAAAGATGACAGGATTTACTGAAAAGGTCTTTTTCTTTTTTGGTATTGAGACTTGACATGAACTATAGATTGAAAAATGAATGAATAAATGTGGTTGTTTTGAATAAGTTCTGGAACATTTATCTAGTCTGCTCCACTACGCCTACATGGATTTACGGGATGATGTCATAACTAATACCGTGGAAACATTTTATTCTAGGTTTTTATTACATGGAAAAGTATATTATAATTCAGAAATCTTATATTAACTATTATAGGCCATACAATAGATTAAACATGGGTGATCCTGTCCATTTTAAATCAAATGTAGCATGTAATCTAAAGATGTATACGAAATGTGTAATTGACAATGAAAAGGTAAATCAATATTTTGTTGATCTATTTATTCAAAAATTTATGTCACAGTAATTTTCTATGCATTTGTAGGAATTGTATGTTTTTGTATGTGTTTTTATAAATATGTTGAAATAAATGTTTGATAAAAAAATCAAATATAACTGAGTTAACAAAGCAAACATCTGTTAGGCAATGTTTAAAAATGTTGCAATTTTCTTATATTTTCCATATACCTTTGAAATCAGTAAAAACAAGACAAATGTCTCTCCTTCCTTTGTTGAACAGACAAATATAACCTTTAGGAGCCTAAATAAGAGATGTACCGAGTTTTCAATATGTTGTACAGGGCTAAGGCCACTGAAATTGTGTGGGAAATTAACATAAAACTGTATCAAACAAAAGGTAACCCAGCCAAACCTCAACCAATACTTTTAATAAAGAGGTAAAACACTCTTGGCGTTCAGCATGTTTGATATTAGGGGGTTGGTATGTTTTAAAAGAACTTGTACGTAAAGGTGGAGAAATATGGTCCTCAAAGGATTAGTTCTCTATTTCGTAGTATTAACTTACTCGATTGAGTATAAAGGTATGAGGAAAAAAGTACTACTTGGGTCCCTGGAAAAACTCATTGTGATTTGAGAGGGTGACGTAATGCTACATGATCACGTACGAAGTTCTCTCAAATATTTAACCTTCCTACTTATTTCATTGGCATATATACTAAACTAAAGCACATGAAATGCTTTAATACTGGCCCAATTTAGGGAACACTGTTTTAATTGTGCCACAGGATAAATACACAACAGCGATAGCGCGCAGGAATCTAGAACATCGTGATCCAGCTATTTCTTTATGGAAGATTTTTTAAGTCTATCTATTCTTTTTTGGAGTTCAACAATCTCGTCATTATGGTTCTTTTGTAATGCAGTTTTTTCCCTATAATGACTCTTCTTGATTTCTTCTATTTGTTTCTCGTGTTTTTCAGTGTGATTGTCGATTCTTTTTAAAAGTAGTGTATTTTCCCGTAAGTGTCTTTTCTTCGCATCTGCCAGATTCTTTTCAGCCTGTTCAACAATATCGTTTTGTTTCTTCACCATAGCGTCTCTTTCCCAATTGTGTTTGCGTTCAATGTCTTCTAGTTCGATACGGTGTTCTTTCTCAATAGCTTCAATCCTCAGCTGAAGATGTTTTTTCTCATCATTAAACTTTTGTGTCAAATTCTTCTCTTGAGCCATCATCTTTGTTTTGAAATCTTCCTCGACCATTGTTAATGCTTGGTACACAACGTTGCTTTTTGATATACGGGCTGCGAGTTCGCTCAGTCTACCTTTCCAATCCTCAATTTCTTCACCATGTTGTTTCTTCATTTTAGATGTATCAGAGGCTAATTCCTTCAGTTTTGCATCAGACTCGTCCTTTTCAGTTTTGAGCTGTTGAATGATTTGATCATTTTCTGTTATTGTCGATCTGAGGGTATGCAATTCTTTGTTGTCGATTACAGGGGCAACTGCTGCAGAGGGCTGGTGATCAACCTTGTCCACTCTACGTTGTTCATCTTGCAATCTTTCTTGTTTCAGCGTTTCAATAGCAATACGAAGCTGACCTGTTTCGTGACCATGTTTTTGTTTCAGTTCTTCGATAGTCTTATACATACGATCCACGACTTCTTGGTGTAACGTTTTCAATTGTTGCATATCTTTTTCGGAGTAGATCAGGTCAGGATATTTGGTTGCGAGGTCGATGTATTGTTCTGTGTCACCTGCCATTAGGAATGTATCAGCAAGTAACTGGACGGTCACTTTCTTGTCACTTTTCTCTTCACTCTCTTTAATCTTCAGGGCATCTTTGTGAAGCTGCATTGCTGACTCGTACTCTTTGCTTTGTGAGTAAGCGACGCCAAGTACATCCATTTCTGAGGTGTTTTTATCATTGTAGACATGTATTCTCAGTTTATCACAAAATCCTTTACTCTCGGCAGTGTCGTTCATGTATATGTTACACAGAATGTGCATTATTGCTTTTGTTGGGCTCTCATGTTTGTAGTTCTCATTTGCCTTCTTCAGGAGCTGCACTGCTTTCGTTGTCTTCTTCATCATGATGTAAGCGATTACTTGATTGATCAAAGAAGGATCATACAATCGTGGCGTCTCTAGTGAACCGTAAAGGCTAGCGCCATCATCTTGTTCCTCTATCGTGAATACCAGTGGTATGGCTGTCATATAGTATCTCAGTATGAGCCTCTCCAGAAACACATTAGCGTTCACGTTTTCTCCGACCAAGAAGTCAGGAAAGAGACGCCCCTCTGATCTATCTACTTGGCCATTATGGTAACTATAGCAACGTAATCTCAACTCTGCAGCCGAGGCAAGAAGCATCTTCAGTTGATGAAGATTGTCGTCGTGTACCCCAGGTATTGAGTCAACTTCCCAGAAACATGATTGGTCACATTTGTACAAATGTAGGAGGTTGCTAATAACAACACTAGGCAGGCGGTAGAATTCCTTTTTAACGTCATATTCGGATGCAGTTGCATGTCGGTTGTACTTTCTGTCGTATAGTTGCTTAATACATGAATACTTTTTTAGGTCTGCAGCCATTTCAGTCTTGATTTCCTTGCGTATTTTATCCCGCTGTTCTCCATCTGCTTTGAATATGCTTTTCATCTTCTCAGCTACTTCCGGATCACCATGTAGCGTTTCGAAGTCCCCTTTGAAGAGGAACGTCAAGTCACTGATGTCATCTTCGTGGTAGCATTTTATGAACGCTCCCATTGTGTTCAAAAGGCAGAAATCCCGATCTTTTAGACTCTTTGTGTAGTATGGAGTTTTGTTGGCACCAGGCATTAAGCCATCAAATGATATCCCTTTCTTCAGTGACACCCCATCTCTCTTGTCAAAGTACCAGTTGCGTGATTTGTCAGATGAAGTGAAGTCATTCAGTGACGGAATGGCGAGAGCTGGAAGGACTGTTTCACCCAATGCCAGTATTTTCATATGCAATGCCAACACCAGGTTTTTCAACGTGTCTTTTGTTGTTGACTTCATGGAAGTGACATTCGTTTTTTCAACCGCTGCAAATTCAACATCTGACATTGGAGTGGTTTCTTTTCTTGAATATGAGCCAAAGCTTACAAGCGCATACTGGAGATTTTCTATGTTCAGAGCTTCCTCACACTGTTTCACTAGACTCGATATAAATTCCTTCATCTCCTTGAATATCCAGACATATAGTTTGCCGATTTCTTTCACCCTTTTTGTTTCCTTTTTTCTAGTATCCTTTTCTGAGAGACCCTCGACGTAACAACGCATTTCTTCAAAGTCGTCTAGCTTATTTAACTTCTTTTGCATTTTTTCTCTTATCTTTACCAAGGCGCGTTTGTTAGCTCGATCTAAGTCAATATAATCATCCGGTAGAGGCCTACCGGTACATTGCTGGTAGAAAAGATCTAGTGTCATATTACGGTCAGTCTCAAGCTTTTCCTTGAGATCTTTAGCTACCTCTTGGGTACATCCCTCGCTATGTGCAATGGCACATTCATAGATAGCAACTGCCTTCATATATTCAAATGGTTCATGGATCAGTTCTCCCATCCTGCGATGGATGTTCCCGATTTCATGTAAATACTGAACGTGCTTCACCGCATCTGAGTTGTACACTCGTCTCAGTTGACTTGCGACTTTGAACTCCTTCATCTGCAATTGTTTCATTTCAATGTCAATGTAAGATCCCTTAGCACCAGTTGGACGATTGCTTGAAGTACTCATCTCTGAAAGCGTTTCAAGCAGCATTAGCCATTCCCTTCTTCTACTCTCGAGTTCTTCAGCTCTTAATTGTAATTCTTCTTTTCTCAGTGTTTCATTCATCTCCCGTTCCTTTTCACGAGCAGCTATTTCTTCTTCAATCCTTCTTCTTTCTTGAATGCGATCCTCCTCTCGTTTCTTTCTTTCCTCTTCACGCAGTGTTCTCTCCAGTTCTCTTTGATTCCTAATCTCATTCAGTTCTTCTTCCAAAACCACTCTCTCATTTTGCGAACTATTACTACAACTATTTCTGACCAGTTCTCTCACTGCTTCCATTTCTTGTTTTCTGATGTCTCTTTCCTCGTTGTTTGCCAACAACATCTTTGTCATCACTTGCATCATTTGGTACATTGTGTCTGCGATCGTCTTATCTGATCCACCTGGACGTGCGTTGGTAGCCATTGTGTCTTGAGTGGGCGTTGTCACCTCAGCTTCTATATCCTCAACGTTGATCGGTTCCCACATTGTTTTGCAATTGTGCTCTCCTGGAAATAGAACCAATTTGCAATGCATGGAGGAACTGATGTTAATAAGTCGAATAACTCACTTCATTCATATCTATAACATTCCAGTATATTAGGCTACTAGAATAACTACTGATAATAACAATCTAAGAATATTTTTCACTTGTTTCACTTTTCTAAATTGAAGAACAAGAAAAAAAATATGTCTAGATATATTTTCCAAACACGCTGCCTTTAGCTCTCTCGAGTCACATACGTATGTTTATCCACACAGGCATATACTTTAGATATAGTTAGGTAACGTAATTAAGTTAGTCAGAATATTGTATTTTAATGGATTCGACCATGTGAGGTATACAACTGTCTTTACTGAATAGTTACTCATGCTAGATTTAGTATGACTCGTTTCTATGTACGTTCATATTTAAATAAATGAATGAATGAAATGCATTTTATGCATTGAATGGCATCAAACACAGAGGCTTACCTTTAGTTAAATTACATTAAAAATGTGATCATGTTGAGTCAACTTCCATCCAGATATTCCAGTCTTATATTATTGCAAATGTCTAGTCGCAAACGGTCGAACTAAACCCTATGTTCAATACAAGTCCTATTGATTTTCATGAAGTGTACACATTCCTTGTTCCTTTGTTGGTATTTTACTGTACTGAATTCAACACTTTTATTGATCGTATTATCAGAAGCTTAGCGCACGCATTACCAGATACCATTTCAAGCACATTAATATTTTAAAGGCACACTCTTAGTCCATGGTATGACTTCCGAATATGAAGGATCCGTAGCACACTATAGCGCAGCAACATTTGAAGCAATATTTATGGAGGTGCATATGTCTTGATTCTTTTAAAATACCATTTGCTGAAAAAACTTCCGGCTTTCGGGTCGAAAAATGTCTTTCATCACAAGGGGTCCAAAAACGTAAATATTTTGATTCGAACTTTTATACATTTTATAAGACTCTGACCATTATTCTAAGCATACGAACAAAAAATAGATTATCGTAATGTAAAAATATATTTTAATTTTACCGTGGATGTAGGTGTTTAATTAGTGTAATTACGCAAGTGTGTTTTTCAGATTTTGTCTGATTTTTCAAATATGAGCCAAGCAGATTCAACAAAATTTTGTGGAATATTTAGGTAATTTATGATTGGAAATATATTAGTTTTCTTATCATTTAAAACATTTTATTACCAGATGTTTTCCAAAAAATCGCAAGGGGTCTAACAACAAATTATTGTTCATGGTTTATAGAATATAATACAATAATAAATAGGTAAGATTTATATCAAATTAAATGTTACAGAGGTATTGGAATGTTCATATATTCCAAGGGCATGTCTAATAATCAATTAGAGATATATGCAATCGAACGCCTTACAATTCTTCCTCGACGTTACTGCTGGCTATCATCAAGTTTTTTGATGGTTGCTTCTTCTTTGACCTTACCGCTGGATATAAGCAGATTTTAGGAAGATAATGATTACTATTTTTCTCAATTATTCAGGATTTCGACCAAGTCTTGGTGTTCTTTTATAAGCAACTGAGCTATATCTAACTACGAAAAATATAATTTCCAGCTGTAGTCCCGATTAGTCAAGGAAGAGCAATAGGCTCTCCTTTATTTTTAATGTTCACCGTTGAATAAAAGTCAATATCTCAAAACGTATTGAGACCCATTTTGTGAAAATCTAACATAATTTAAGCATTTGTCATTCTAATATAAAAGTGATTAATTTCTAGCATTAATCTTATTAATACCTGAGAAGCAATACAAAACGTCGATGCACTGATTACATAATGTTTTGGTATTGATAAGAAAAATAACCTCAAACGTATAGCTTAGAAACCTAGATCATATATTTAAAATACTTTTGTTTTATTTGCTGTTGCATTGTGTTCTCCAAACTGTGAAAAATTGGGATTTTATTTTTTGGAAATTTTTTGACCTCTGTTGATGGCAGGCATAATTCACCCTAAAAGCCGGAAGTATATTAAATGGTTATAATAAAAATTATTAGGGAACATATGTAGGTATGTTAATGTTAGGTCAAATATCGCTGCGCTATAGTGTGCTACCATCTCCTTTATTAGACGTCCTAGATATTTCATACCATGGACTGTCTGGGCTGCTCACGTTTTATGTTAGATGAAGTATAAACTATCCAAAGTTTGTGTGTAAAAACTATAAACTGCAGGGAGTTCATACGTGATATCTATCGTCCTTACCTGGGAAGGGTGGTTGTATATGAAAAACTGAAAATCAAGCTAAATAAAAGCACGCAACCTTTATGAATCAATAGAATTTCAAAATATGCATTTATAGTTTTACAAATAAATATAAAAAATCTAGCTTCGCTCAAGTTTTCTGGTACGTTCAATAGGATGAAAATATATTCTGGGAGAATTAGCAGGATATCAAATATTGATATTTTGGTCATTGTAAGTAAAAGATGAAAATGCATATGATAATATGAGTCAATTCATGAATAGGCTGTTGCAGCAGTTCACTTTTTTGGAATACCATGTATATGAATTTATATCTTCTCCAAAAACAAGTAACCTGCATGAACATAAACATGTCACGTACGGATGGCCATCAGCAAATACTACTATACATTTTATTTCATTTTTACATTTTTTACAGTACATTTTATTTCACTTTCAAGAATACAAAATTCATTTTTACATCTGTTCGTATTGTATCCTTTATTAAATTGGTATCTACTTTTACTGAAATTTGAATGAAGATATGTAGTCAACTATAATTTTTTCTGAATTTTTTTTCTATCCTTTCATTATTTCTACACAATCGCTCTGGGTTTAGAACATCTTGAAAAAACTGGGTAGTTCGGTGCTGCTTTTTATTACCAGATCGAGTTTTCCATAAATAAAGATTTCTGAAATCAAGGTTGTTGCTCACAAATTTTGACCATCTAGGAATTGAAGTATCTAAGTGAGAAAGAGTCTTTGACCTGAGCTATAGTTTAGCATATGTACGAGTTCTTGGTACGATGTTGTCTGAGACAATAGAAGATTAGACTACGACAATGGGTTACATTTATTCACCATGAATAACAGCATTCATCTTTAGAACATAGGTAGGGGTTTCATCCATTTCGCATAGGCCCTATTCATATTTTATATGTATGCTAGTGTACAAATGGAAAAGTCTAGAACGTGCTTCAATGTCCTCCACATACAGTTATAGTACGAAAGTAGTTCCGTTCCCCTATGATCACTTCACGCATCTGTTTACATCCAACTACATCCACCCTGTCAATGATACGCGGACAATTCACATGAACCCATTTCAAAAAATATATAGGCTATAAACTAATTATTTTTAACTAATTATTTTCAAATTACAATCGTCTTGTTGCTATTACTGCCAAGTGACTCGGGGTGAGTCTTTTGAAAGTTAATATGATCCCCGTATATGGCAAGTATGAGCGTTATGGCTATACCAGTAAGTATGCCCACATTTTGTACAAAGAATACTTTTGCACCATCTGCTTTTGTCTTCTGGTCATGTAAGGTTTTGTCCAACTCCGGGACCTGAAAATATACATTTTGATCTCATTTTATCTTTCTGTTTTACAACGCAATATGCTCTGATTTTAATGGGTCATTCCTGAACCGAAATTATTTGCTACATGCATAATAGAGAGAGGGTTGTATGGTACGTGATCAAATATTCACGCCTTCATTGTCCTTTCAAGAACCTTCAACAATATAAAATCGAAACAAAGAGGTATAGGAGTATGTAGCATATATACTGAATTATATTTATATCTCACCATTTCAATATATGCGAGGTAGACAAACATGCCGGCTGCAACTGCATACATCCACCCTGCAGCGCCCTCTTTCTCGCCGAGAAACATGCCACCTATGAAGCCCAGTAAATTACACGACGACTGGAGGAAATTAAACAGCATGGCCTTGCAGGGCTTCATCCCAGCACTTAATAAAATTGCATAGTCGCCTAAAATCATAAAAAAAATTAAATATTCAATCTTTATTAAACATCTAAAAATGTGTTTTAGATAGTTTCCGGTCAGGCCTGACTGAAACTTGGTGCTATGAAATCTAACGCAACTGAAAGCATTGATATATCAAAGAATTTCAGCAATTTCAGCAATTGAGGAAAAATACAACATTGAGTGCGTTTATTCATGCGACGGGGTGTTCCAAAAATCCCTTTGCCATCTAACAATGAATATCTCTTGAATCAACAGAGTTTGATAAGAGAAAGTTTGCAAAATTAACGTTGGTTCAATGTTCTTTAAGTTGACAGAATTTCACTACTATGACAAGTGTATGAACCATTTGCTGAACAATCAAATTATGTGCTCCAAATGGGCATCGTGTTTTTGGTACACCCTGTCCATTCCAAATATGCTACTTACGTCTTAATGCTTTACATTGACTTCTACAAGTATATAGGGGGCTTACCAAGTTTGTGGCTGAATTCCTCACAGAGGATAGATACTGCAATGGATATGCCCCCGAACACATTTTGGGAGAATGCGACACCGACAATGATGCCATCTATAAGATGATGAAAACCCTCGCCAAGAGACAAGACCCATGCTATCAAGGGTACCTTGTTAGACGCTTTGTCCATTTCGGTGACATTCTAAAAATAAACACATATTTTCTGTACTAACACAGATCTGGAGGACTATAAGATAAGTTCATCATTCCACAAAACATGCTTCGAAACATAGCAGTCTACATTAGAGGTGTCAAGTATTAACCGGTTAACCGGTTAACCGCCGATAATGCCTTGACCGGTCTGAGTTTTTATGGGCGGTTAGTTGACCGTGGATAATTCTGTTATTTCCCGCGCTTATTTTGCATGCTAATCCGTTTGGTTTTATGGTGTCAGTTTCACGTAAGCTACTCATACATGTCATAAGTCCCATAACTCCTTACAAACATCCAATCAACAACTTTAATCCCTGCCACATTGCTTTCCCGCGCTTACTTTGCATTTTAATCTGTTTGTTTTTCAAGCGTCAGTTTCATGTGAGCTACTCATACATGTGATAGGTCCGAAAATTCCTTACAAACATCCAATCAGCAACTTTAATCCCTGCCACATTGCTTTCCCGCGCTTACTTACATAGAATAGCGTAAAGCTTGACGAACGTAAAAAATAAACGCCGATATATCATTTTTCCAATTTTTTCAACTTTCAAGATCGAAGATGTAGATTTCATTTGAAATTATAAGTTCAAATTTCCCGCCGGTTAACCGACTTTAACCGGTAAAAACCCTCGGTTAACCGGTTAATGCTCAAGCGGTTAATTGACACCACTAGTCTACATTCATGATAGGTAATTAGACGTACGCGTACATGACATGGTGACAGCAGGGTGTGGGTAGGGAAAAAGCGACGGAAGAAAGATTCTGTTTAAGAGAGGTTGTTTTATCAAAATTTATAATAACGTGTTACCTGGACGACGGTTTCAACTGCAAAGTTTCCTGGAATGTCAGGCATATTTCCATCGCCTATATAAAAGACCCCGTTTGTCATTCCCCCATTCAGGTTTTCAGTGCTTTTCGCACTAACAAGTTGGATTTGACTGCCTGTTGATACGATTGTAGCTTCTGATGCTTGTCTTTCAAACTTGGTCATTTCCCGTACATCGTCCAGTTTGGACTCTTTCTTTTGCGGAAGACTTTCTTTTTGAGGAAGTTCCATGTTTTTATTTGCCGTCGCCTACATATACAAAATGTTAACTTTGATAAATCTTCACAAGATCATCTGATATTTACATTGGTACCAACTTACTATGAGCAATAAGGGAAACAACACTCGTTATTACGTTTCATGTTGTAAAACCCTGAAACCACGTTTGATAATTATCATTCGTAAGAGTTAAATATTTGTTGGGCATTATTTTATGATCATTAATTATCACTTTTAGTAAATATCATGCTTTCTTTTATTCCCCCTTGCATGTAACCTACCGAATTCTGGCTGTGACCATGTGCTGCTTCGGACCCTATGGTGGCAATTTTCACGATACGTTCAGTAAGGAAAAAGAAGTACAGGCCACCAAGTATCCCCAGGCCCTTCCATATATGCGTATTATCATCTTCATATTTTTCCACAATATCGAATGCCTAAATAAAAACATGATTTAATTGATTTAGTTCATCACAATGTACAATAATTTATAAGCTCCTGATATAGGTTGGCTAAATTACATACTTCCACGACGTACATAACATTAAATGAATGTCATTTCAGTATATGTATGATGAACATGTTAAATACAATGGTACATTCCATTAATGTTGACCTCGTCTGACAATTTATTCATAATTGAAAAACTATCACAAATTAAAGTTACAATGGACTATGATTTTTTGATGATTGTTAGATGTTTGTAACATTTTTCGTAACAAAACTCAGGACAGAAATAGTATCCTTATTTGTATAGGGATATGTCCTTACTGACCAGCTAAGTGGTCAGTGTGAAGATAAATTAAGTCTTAGTTTATAATCAAATTATTTGTTGACATAACGGATATTTTCAGTTATTGATGACAATCAATTTTGAATCAAATCTGATTTTATGAACCTAAAGACCTCAGCTCAAGAATTTAAGATAATATGAATTACAATATCTAAAACCCACAAAGTAGCCTATCCTATATGGGAAATTGGGTAGGCAGGTCAGCATATTTTGATTGAAACAATAATTGTCATTTTTACATTCTAAGTCTTCTATGTTGGTCTTTATAAATGATAATGTACTACATTATTTAGATGAAATAATGTTTACGGTGAAATAAAAAATAATATAGTTATCAAAATCTTAACTCGGTTTCATTTACCATTTATAAGAACTCAACTCTGGTATACTCATCAGATCAGAGAAAATTCTTTGATCCAGCTCGTCCAATATAGAAACATCATGATCTCAAGTACATACCTTCACCATGGAAGTTTATAAACAAGAGCTAAAATATGTAACTGCCATTGAACTGTCAGCGTCAACCTCCAGGCTAGGCGAGTAAGTTATTTGCAATAAAAGAAAGTTAAGACAATTCGCCCTATCGACAGAAGTGACTACAAACATGAATGATGACCTGTTACCCTATCCATCTGAAGCCAGTCCTAAATAATGATCAATAAGTCTCATCGAAATGAATCTATAGGAATAATGAATGATTGTTGAGAAGCCCTGACGCAAAAAGGAACTAATATTAAGTACATTTTTTAAATAATTTTCTCGACCTTAATGTCAAGACAATAGCCCGGTGCAATATATTAACATTGGTCACATTCTACACATACTTGTAATTTCCTGGAGTTGTTTAGCTTATTAAAGAAAATATATCAAATAGCAGAATTGAATTGTTATAAAATTGATTTGAATAGCAAAAATTGTAATAATAGTAATATAGTCTAATCAAGAAATTATATTGATATTAGAATGTTATAATTTTATAAGGAATTATTTAATAGTAAGAGGATAATCTTACTTCTTGTCACTACGGTTTAATATTACCTAACAGCACATACTCAATGCTATTTTATTTTTTCGACACTGTGCAGTTATTTAGTAGCGGTACCATTAACTCAAAGAGGCACCTCACTTTTTAATTTATTCATTAATGAGCGAAGCCTTGTAGTATTGTGAATGAACTATTCTCTTTTAAAAAGTCTTGAATGAGATATATTGTCAACTATCATTAGTTTATGTTTAAATGAGATTGTGTGGTTGGGAAGCAATTGTAGGTATTTGATGAACGTGAACGCGAACCTGTAAAATCAAGGTCCCCTGGAGACTAGTTTTCCTTTTTTGCCTTTGATTAGGCTACCCCACTGAGTATGATGGTAGAAGAGGAAAATAGTTGTGATTAGGTCCCTTATAAACCAATCGAGGGGTACTACAATCTTTGAGGGTCATGATATAACACGTGCGCGTTCACTTTCTCTGAAATACGTGTGTACATATGATTATTCAGCAATTCCATTGAAAGTAATCAACGTGAGTAACGTTTACGTCAAGGAGAACTTACATCTGGGAATAATGTGAGGACACCAGTGCCTGCTAGTGTTCCAACTGCCAAGCCTACGAGACCAGTCAACAGTACTGGGAACCAGGGCTTCTTGAGGAACGGTATCAGTAGGAACCCGAATAAGGAAGACAGTACGATCACTAGTTCACAACCAAGTCCTATGCCCCATTTCACTAAAATGACAAATGTATAATTATTTGGCATCCATAATAACAAAAAAAGTGGCGTTTTAAAAAGTAGAAGAATGTGGTCAAGTACGTACTGGAGAGTGAATCTACGTATTCTACAGGGACGGCATCCTTGGACGTCATGTTGGCGATAACGCTAAGTTTCCTTCATTTATTCAACTGCAGTAGATGTAACATATATATTCAATCTATGGTTTTGTAATTCTTAATTGAAAGAGTAAATCCAGTATTTTGTCATTTTTTAAATTTTGTAGTTTGAATAATATATTATTGTTTCGTCTCATTTCCAATTGTTTATTTTCCTTTAGGTGTTTGCTTTTATATTCCAATGTTGTGTTTAAGGTGATACACCTGCTTTGTTCCGCATATCATACCTTTATATTATTAAATCAAAGATACCATACCAGCATAGTATTAGTCGTTCAACCAGGATAAGAAAATTAGAAAATATTTAGCGAATACTAAGTGATTCACTCAATACCACCTAGTACTATAACTTATACATAGCACAAATGATTCAAATAGTTTATTTTTATTCCTGTTTCCCGTCGCATGATTCAGCGGGTCCTTCTTGCTTGGTTGCCATATCATCTCCTATATATATGTCCACTGTCATTATCATAGTTCAACTTTGTAAGAAGCTTGTGGACATTGTGGGCATCTGTTTAGAATCCCAATGTGTGAGCCAACTAGTTGGTGGATGTTATCATGTATCTTCCAATTTCCGTTCAGGGTATATTAATGTTATGTCTGCATATGAAAAAGGACTTGTGTGTTTTTCAAATGTTAATGTGTCGTCTGATTAGGTTTTTGCTGGTTCACTTATTTATAACACATCGTGATCATAAGCGTTTTAACATGCTTTACTGGCTGCCAACTGTTTTTCCAATTGCAATCAAAGTATATCCTTATAGTTTCGGTTCTCACCCAATCTCATTAGTAATTACCCACGTGTATATCCGAAGTTATTTTTTAAATGTTGATTTTTATCGGTTAACCCTGCGCCGTAAAAGGTCATATAACAAGTGCCCCTAGTCAAGTGACGTCAACCTAGATGATGAGCAGCGAGCACCTATCAAGAGCATCGATTTACAATGGTGACAATAACGACAATTCTATTGTTGTTAGGTTTAGTAATATAAAACACATGAGCAAACATGGAACAAGTCCCGGGGTGGAAAATATCTGTCAATTTCGGACTATCATACATCCGGATATCCAGATTGATTTTTATGTGACAGCGTCGTCCTTGGTGACACTTCATTCACTTAGATGGTAATCCAAGAGTCCAACTGAGCAATCACATGGTTAGTCATGGGAAGTCATTCAGAAATCATACCGTTGCCCATCTCTCTTCATTGTTTTGATATTACCTTTTTTTCCTTTACCAAAATTGACTTTACAAACAAGCAGAAAATTATAAAATTGGGCTTCATAAAAATTCTAACTTTCGATTGGCTGAGGCATCCTTACTTGGCATATTTGAATTTATATTTCTGAACGTGAAGCGCTGTAAAAGAACATTTTAAATCTTACTAAAGAGAGTGCCCGATCCTCCTTTCCCTGCTGCTCTGGCTATCGATGACTTTATCATTGTGCGTTTAAACCAGCTGCTACGGATCGGAACGAGTTAAATAATTCGTCTAGAATTATAAATGGCATTGGAATTGATGTAAACCATGACTGATAGTGCCTTATTAGTATGGGCTACCCCGTTGCTGATTTGATACAAAATTTAAAAAAGGTTTGGTGTTGTTCAATTCTTTCTGAATCTTATTCAAAAACATGATTGGCCCTCTAATGGAATACAACATTATTAATCAATTCGAGTGAATCCCCCGGCCAAAAATTGTTTCAAAAGCATGCTGCTTCCCCCTTTTGAGCACTTTTCAAGTAATTTTGTGACAAAATTGTCCATGGCAAAAGCTGGCTATGGGCCCTGAGCATCAAAACATTACATAAATACACAACATACCTTTTTATATTTCTTTGAAGTATTTTTGTTTCAATTTCAATTTTATCACTAATCATATCCTTTCACATTGGACTTCAGTGCTTTTGTCACAACAAGGATATATCCCGATATCTCTACTGATATTAAATAGTCGCTTGGGAACTCTATTGACATGGTATGGACCGCAGTGATAGCTCATTGGGGCAATTAGGGTCTTCACTTAACTTTTCTTCTTTGATTCAGATAGTAAAATGATGGTTTGTCAGATAACCTTACCTGACATGTACGTCTTGAAGACACGAGGGATAGTCTCGTGTCACGTGACTTGTTACATTCTACAGAGTGGTCAATATTTATTTCGATAAAATTTTAATGGGAGATTTACCTTTACCTTTTTTCAGGGGTCCATTTTTGGTACGGTCGTAACTTGCAAATTGATCGAAAGTCATTGTTCGTCATAAAATAGACAATGATGTTCTCTGAATCTGAATACGATCCTACCGAAAGCTTCTTCCCGTGTCCAAAAAAAGAGAACATGATTTTTCACCCAGAATTTGTCTTACCAGTCCCATTTTTCCTGATGTTGATCCAATCCATCTAAACGTCCTCAGTCTCAACACACTCCCATTAATGCTTCAATTTGATCAGAAATATAAATAGCCATAATGTCAGCATCATAATAAACATGATTCTCTGACTGACTATATGAAATGTAAAGATTAGTATTTCTTTAAAGTATTTGGGGCACTACCAATATAATTGTAAAATTGTTGCTTGAAATATCATCCTGAAATCGGTTTATTTTTAAAGACACCCCTCGTATCTGTTAACCTTAATCATTCAGACAACCATGAAGATTAACAATTACAAAAGTGATTTCTGCATTTCCCATGAAGAAATTATTCAAACCCGGCTTGCATACTCAAAACAGATATATCGAAATAAAAAATATGGACGTTTTTGGCCCACCCTGTCCCAATAAACGAGGGCCATTCAATCACTAATACAAGGGTCGATCCATATGTTCTGTTAAAAATGTAATTACACATACAATGCTAAAATATTATAGTAATATCTTAAATTACCAAGGTAACTTGTATTTAGGGTAGGCAGGTAAAATATATGGGTCGCCCTTGTATATGTTCATTGTTGCATTTTCAGAGATCAAATGCATTGGGAATGGTGAGATACATAAGAAAAGGCCCGCACCTGATACCAAAATCAATCACATAAGCAAGCACCAACATCCCAACCGATGACCAAACACACAGATATAATTACGTTTTAATTGTTACTTTAGTTTAATGCTGAGGATTGTATATTCTTTGGCCACAATCTTTTTTCTTACTCCGTTTTGTAAATTTTAGATTTTGTTACCTATATTATCCGTGATAGTATGTACTTTAAATGTAGAAATGATACTACTTATTATGATTTTGTTTTAAAATCTACATGTAACGAGAAACCAAAAGAGGAGCTTATCATATCATATGTAAATTGCAACACAAATAAAGCCGCTGATTTGGTTAATAATTGGTTTTCACAAATTGTTGCAATGATAAAAGGTAATACTAACTCGTTGGTTGGCTGTATCAAGGTAATCAGAAAATAGGATAAGGTTGTGGAAAGTACAGAAATCGAAGTACACTCCCCTCCATAAGTTTGATGAAATTTTGAAAATCGTCATTGGTTTACATGGGAATGTCGATTTTCAAAAATTCATCCGATTTATCATCAATTTTCGACATATTGTAATTGAGGAAAAAAATTGGAGGTATTGGAAATGAAGTCAAGTTATATTCCCATTGATATTATAAGATTTTCATCACAGTTTACGTAAATAAAAATTCAAACAAAAAGAGGCTTTAACACGTAATTAAGGTTGCCAAACTTATGGAGGGGAGTGCTATAGGGCAATATTAACTTGGACCAAAAGTCAATAACGTCGCAAAGGCTGACATGAAAAAGCATGGCCTTCTATCAGTTCCTTTCTAAAAAGTATGAGAACGCGCAAGGCCCCTTTTGATGGTGAAATGACGGAAAACCGATCATGCTAAAACGAAGACAAACTGTCTTCGTCTCCAGCTGATCCCCAGTGATATCGGATTGTTTTTTCAATGCTTTTTAGCATAGAATGATATAAACGGAACCTAGGGTATTCATATAAAAATATGTTCGGGGTAAATGAGTGTTCAGACCACAGGTTCAATATTGTGAATTAATTCGAGCAATGGAATGATAACTTGGGGTTGACAGCTCAAAAGAATTTACACATAATCCTAAACAGAGTGGAGTCTTGTTACACTACAGAAACCGAATGGTCTGGATAATTGGGATGACTCGTTGGTTTGCCAGATTCTTCATCCGAACACTCATTCCAAAACACATAGGCTAATGGCCTTCAGGGCTGTCAATAGATGGCGACAAATTCAGTAGGTTTAATAGCATACTTTAACATATAAAAAATGTCCCAAAAAATCTCCCAAGTCCCAAGATAAATTTTATTGAAAATATCCAAAACTTCTAATTTTGAATCTTAAAACATGTTTGTAAATAATGATGAAGGAAATATGATATTTCTTTGATATATGTAGAGAATTTGAATTATTTAAGGTAAAGACTTCTGACCTTTTGCAAACACTTTCAACATTATCAAGCGAGTAAACTCGCCCATCGTCTATCAGGAATGTGATACTTATGAGAACACACTTTCTTTCAAATCTGTGCGCCTTCGTTTTGCTTTATTTCAAACAAAAAAATTCTTGCCGGAGCCGATAAGTCCCCAAGAGCAAATATGAAACAGTATAATAGAAACATTTTGAAATGAGTTATTATTAAAAGCACACACGTCTGTATGTATCATTTATAAACACAAGCATTTGATCGAATGGGTATAGTATTTATTATCCATCACTTCGATTTATTTAAATTGTATTAAAAATTTGATGAAATTAAAATGCGAAATTATATTAAAACATATTATACGATCACAGTTTAGACAAACGCAAGTTTCAGTGTCTACATTCAGCCTTTAAAAACATTCCAATGTGACTGCTATACTCAGGCCGTAGCCAAGATTTCTCAAAGGAGTTCTACCATTGCTTTTCAATGGAGATTTGTAACGGGACAGCATCTTTTCCATTGGGCCATGCAGCCGAAGGTAAGCCATACAACCGAAGGTAAGCCATACAACCGATTTTTGCCGATTCAATCTGACGGAGAATGCCGAGCCTCTCTTTGTGACCAGTTAGAGACGTCCTCTTCACATCCGTGGTACCCTCGGCCAACTTCGTTTGCAAAGAAAATCTTCAGTAATCTCAGACTTTTC